CGCGCGGGGCCCCGGGCTTCGCACGCAATGGGCAGGCGGAGCTCCAGACCTCGCCCGCGTCGGTCCCCCGCCTGGCCACAGCGAGGCTAGTCGTCAAAGGGACCCCTGGCTTCCCCGGGCGCCCTTCTGGCTCTCTGTGGGCTGGTTGCTCCCAGCTGGTCCCTTCCAAGGCGGGGTTTGGAAGGGAAGTGAAGTGTATACAGTTTCAGGGGCGCTCTTTGAGAAAAACGCCACAAAAGTACAAACACACAAAAAAATTGAGGCACGGGGCTTTGGAAGGGTCGCCTGTGAGCCAGCCCCCTGCAGTCCAGGCTGCATTGGCTTTACGGTTAGTGCACCTCTGGCCCCGCGCTTTTGACTGACTCTGCCTGAGCGCAGGGCGGGGAGGCCCGCGGGCTGGGGCTGGGCATTTAGAGGCTTCTCCCAGGCCACCAGGTCTTTGTAAGGAACTCACTATTCAGCCATCTTCCTGACTCAGCCCAGCCCTGCAGCTGTGAGAAGGGACGCCCTGGCGCTTGTAGGCAGAAGCAATACAACTCCAGAGAGAGCGAGCGAGCTGTCATGGAGACCAGCTGTCATGGAGACCTCCGCAGATTCTGCTGGGGCTTCTCAGCCTCAGGACCCTCCGGCATCCTTAGCACGCTAGCCTTCTGCCCCGTTCCAAGACATGGACGACATAGATGGGTGATTGAGCCAAAAGGGCAACTGGATTATGTTGGCCCGATGAAAGGCATATGGGGAGAGGTATATGATTCTTCGCTGGAGGTAGACCGTGGGATCTGTATCCCCGCGCCCCTGCACCCCAGATTAAAAGATCAGATTGGACACCGTGTGGCATCTTTTCTGATATAATCCCCACTCTCTGGCAAAGGGTGAGCCATGAAGTTAGGAAGCTCTCACTGGCCTGTCTGTCCATCTAACGGAGGCAGATATGGCTCTAGCTCATTTGGAGTTGGTAGGCACCCAGCCCTGGGGTCTTAGGCCTGGCTAGCAAGAGCCACAACTTCTAAGTCCAAGATGCATCAGGGAAAAATTGAACTGTAGAACAAGTTTGGGGGCAGGGGGAAGCACACAAAGAGAGGAGAGGCCGTTAGCCAGAGTGTGGCTCTGCTTTCTAGGTGTGCAGTAGGGGCCTTAGAGCTGTACCCCCTTTGCTGACCTTTGCCTTTCAGGGTGAGGGTTCAGTGTGCACCTGGATCTGCAGCTGACCTCGATCATCCCCAACTGCAGAGTGCGCCCCCGTGGGAAAGAACAACGAACTGATTTCAGATTAGCACGTAAACGTAGACTTCACACGGTCTCTTCGGTAGGAATCCGCTCCCTTTGCTTTTACGGTGAAACTGCGGATTGAACTCAATATGCGAAACGATGGGAAAGTAACTTTTTCCATTTCTTAACAAGCCTGTTATACGAGTTAAAAGGAAAAGCCCACTCTTAAATAATGGTTCATGACCCTGTAGATTTCTTCCGTGTGGAGACTGGTCATGTTTGGTGACTCGGTGAGAGATGCTCATGGTATTAGTTTTCTGTCGTGTAACTACTGCAAACTGAGTGGCTTAAAGCGGCACGCATTATTGTCTCCATGTCGGTGGCTCAGGCGTGTGGCCGTGGTTTTAGCTGGGTCCTCCGCTCAGGGTCTCACGAACTCAAGGCTGCAGTCAAGTTGTTGGCCGGGCTGTGTTCTCATCCGGAGGCTTGATGGGGAGAAAGCGCTTCCCAGTGCATTTGGTGGGGGGGGTGGGGGGGTGGCAGAATTTGGTTCCTGGATCTGGGGCCCCAGCATCTTGCTGACTGTCGGCTGGAGGCTTTCCTTAGTCCTTGGGGGCTTCTTGCAGTTCCTGGAGGCTGCTCCCCATTCCTGAGCACCGAGACTTTCCCAGAGTGGCTGCTTGCTTCAACAACCCAGACTCTGGGGGAGTTTGCTAGCAAGAGAGGGCGACTTACAGAACGTCACCTCGTCCCAGGACCGACAGCGCGTCACCTCTGCTACATTCTTCTCTTGGCTCATAAACCCAGGTCACACAGTTGATTTCATAGGTTCGTGGTCATCCGTTTCATCCATCAGGACAAGCATGACACCGCCAACGGCACGTAGGCAGGACACGATTTTGTCCTCTCTCTCTTGCATGGGTGCTTCGGAGTGTCGCAGTGGAAGGACCAGGGAGGAGACCGGCATCAAAGACACTGACCTAGAGAGATGGACTGTGCTCTCTGCGTCCTGGGGAGTCCTGGTCTTTCTGCTTTCCCCTTCCCTGAGGGGTACCCGTGGGCCGATCCCCCCAGAACTTTAAAACAGGAGGTGCTAAGAGCTTGGGGAGCAGCGTATGCAAGTCCTCCCCACCCCCTGCCACACACACACCTCATCATCTTCTCTCATTAACACAGCAGAGCGAACGATAGGAATGTTTTGGATTCGAGTTACTGTTTCCATGTAGACACCCACTGGGAGGTGGCAGAGATGCCTTAATTTCAGCCACTGCCTTTAGGCTGGTCTAGGAACAGTTACAAAGCAACTCCCAACATGACACTTTGCAGGCAAAAGGAAAGGAAAGGAGACCCAGAGACAGTAACCCCCAAAAATAGAGTCCACTACAAGATCTGTAAGAATGTATAGCCCTAGACGTCTCCCAAGGATTTTTTTATATACCAATATATTCAAAAGTTGTATAAAAGACTTGCATAATAAAAACAAAATCTCGTAGGTCAAAATCGAGCCTTAGCTTTCTTGCTTTGGAACCCCAAATTTAATGCGAGGAAGACGTTTTCAGGTCGCGGATGGTGATTCGAATAGATAATGGTCTGGAAAGTGGAAAGTTTCATGAGCCCATATCGTCTTCCTTCCTAAGAGCCATTTCCTTACTCAATCAGTCATGCCCGTTTGAGAGGACATGTTTGTTTAATGTAGAACTCTTGGCACATGTAAAATTTTTGGCAAACCTATCAGGTTGGCAGGTGCTGAAAAGTAAAATCCTCTTTCTCCAAACTGTAAAAATTCATGCGGATTTCCCATCGTCACCCTCACAGCTCCACCAGGCAGAATGCCACCTGTCTTAGCCCTCAATAGATCCCGGCACCAAACGCCGTGACAGCCTCTGGCTGGACCACGCAGCCACCAAGGTTAAAGGGAAGGTCAGGTTTAGATCTGTTCCTTGGTGGGCTCTGTCATTCTGAACATTCATCTTCCGGCTGTGAAAGATGAGGAGGGAAACGGGTAGAAGGTTTGGCCTCATTTTAAGGTTTGGTGGGGGTAGAAGGGGCACCTAAGGGAGAAGGGGAGAGAGAAGTTAACGGGGATGCAGGCTGTCTCCATTGACACCAGTGGAGATGTGAGCTGCACGGCCAAGCAACATGGCTTTGGGAAAAGGCAGGATTAGCTCTTGGAATTCACAGCACTACCTGTGTGTCCGTGTAAGAGATGACAATTCTGATAGCATGGCAGACTGTGATCAGCCTTGGCAGGAACGTGCCAGGCAGGGCTTTGCGGTTTGGAAAAGTGCGGCAAACAAGCAGGGCACAAGGCTTCTTGGGAAACACGCCTCTCTCTGCCCAGCGCTGCTACCACCACCCACGCCCAGGTTCCTCCCAGCGTGAGCTCAGCTTCCGTCTCCCTCCTTCTGCTGGTCAAGGAGGCTGGTCCCACCTGTTTGGCCCCTGGAGATGTTACCTGGAGATGCCCTACCTATTGCTGGGTCATGGACTTTCTGGGTAGACCATATTCCGTGAGTCGGTCAGCAGCATTCTTGATTTAGATTCTCTTGGCAGGTATAAAGAGGCATGGTGCCAGCCCCGGGTGTTCAATGCTTAAATCGGTTGACAAGGAGGTTAAGATCTTGCCAATCAGAAGAAAAGATAGCACCTATGCTATCCTTGGGATGTGATATTTTTGATGTCACCTCTCTAATCGCAAGGACCAAAAATAGCAAGAGGAAAAGATTCAGTGGATAATATTAGGTCAAGCAACGTACCAATTAAAAATAGAACTGCCCCTCTCTCAAACATCCTACGAAAATAATGACGATGCC